TGTGTGTGTGTGTGTGTGTGTGGTGTGTGTGTGTGTGTGTGTGTGTGTGTGTGTGTGTGTGTGTGTATACACACACAATGGAATTCCATTCCACAGATTATACCCAGAAGTGGAATTGCTGGATCATATGTAGTTCTATTCTTAATTTTATAAGGAACCTCCATACTGTTTTCTATAGTGTCTGCACCAATTTGCAATCCCACCAACAGTGCACAAATGTTCCCTTTTCTCCACATCCTCGCCAACACTTGTAATTGCCTGCCTTTTTTATAATAACCATTCTAATAGGTGTGAGTTATGGTTATGATGGTTATGATTATGGTTATGATGTGCATTTCTCTAATTATTAATGATGTTGACAATCTTTGTATATACCTGTTGGCCATTTGTACATCTTCTTTGTCTATTCAGATCTCCTGACCACTTTTTAATTGGATTGTTTCTCGTTTTGCTATTGTGTTGCATGAGTTTTTCCCCCATGTTTTGGATATTAGCCTCTTATCAGATATATGATTTACAAATATTTTCTTCCATTCATGAGGTTTCCTTTTCATTTTGTTGATGGTTTACTTTGCTGTACAAAAGCTTTTTAGTATAATGCAGTCACAGTTATTTATTTTTGCTTTTGTTGCTTTTGCTTTTAGTATCACATTTAAAAAATCATCTCCAAGAACTATGTCAAGGAACTTATCTCCTATGTTTTCTTCTAGGAGTTTTATGGTTAAAGGTCTTACGTTCAAATCTTTAATTTACTTTGAGTTAATTTTTGTTTATGGTATAAGATAGTGGTCAATTTTTTTCCCTTGCGTATGGTTGTCCATTTTTCCCAACACCTCTTATTGGAAAAACTGTCATTTCCACATTGTATATTCTTGGCTCCTTTGTTGTATTAAATTAACTGACCATATATGCAAGGGTTTATGTCCGGGCTCTTTATTATGTTCCATTGATTGATGTATTTTTATACCAATACCATGCTATTTAATTACAATAGCTTTGTGATATAGTTTGAAATCATGAAGTGTGATGTTTCCAGCTTTGTTCTTCTTTGAGGATTGCTGTGGCTATTTGGAGTTTCTTGTGGTTCCATACAAATTTTAGAATTATTTGTTCTATTACTTAAAAAAATACATTGGGATTTTGATAGGGATGGCACTGAATCTGTAGATTACTTTGGGGAGTATGGACATTTTACCAATATTGATTGTTCCAGTCCACAAACATGGAATATCTTTCCATTTTATCTTCTTCAGTTCCTTTCACTAATGTCATAATTTTCAATATACAGGTATTTCACCTCCTTGGTTAAACTTATTCCTAAGTATTTTATTATTTTTAATGCAGTTTTAAATGAGACTGTTTTATTTCTCTGTCTGATAGTTTTTGTTAATATATAGAAACACATGTTTCTGTGTATTGGTTTTGTATTCTACAACTTTGCTGAATTAGATTATTAGTTCAAACAATTTTTTTAAAGATTTTTATTGGGGTATTGGGGGGAAGGGAACAGTGCTGGGGAATTGGGGGAAGGGGAACAGACAAGTTGCTGTCGTTTTGTTCTTCAGTCTAGTTGGGGAGGACGTTGATTCACTGGCCCAAGTTGGCACCATCATTGCGCTCTTCCCGGGAGAGGCAGATCAGTCACCAACTTCTGGATGGCCGCTCATGCTGGCTGCTGGCCGCTCATGCTGGCTGCTGGCTACACATGGTAGTCCATGGCAACCCACTGCCACAGGGGCTGCAGCCTACGCCGTCGCCGGCGACTCACGGCAGCCCAGCTCCAGGTTGAGCTGTTGTTCAGCATCTTAGCTGTGGAGGGCAGTGTCACTGGCCCTCATATGTGGGATCCAAACTGGGGCCCTCTGGCATCCCAAGCCAGTTCTTAACCATCGCGCCACTCAGCCGGCCCCAAACAATTTTTTTGATGTTTTACTTCTTCCTTTCCAATTTGGATGCCTTTTATTTCTTTTTCTTGTCTAATTGCTCTTGCGAAGACTTTCAATAGTAAGTTAAATAGAAGTAGTAAGAGTGGGCAATTTTGCCTGCTTCCTGATCTTAGACGAAATAGCTTTCTGTATTTTACTGTTGAGTATGATGTTAGCTGTGGGCTTGTCATATACAGTCTTTATTATGTTGAGGTATGTTCTTTCTATACCCACTTTGTTGACAATTTTTATCATAAATGGATGCTGAATTTTGTCAGATGCTTTTTTGGCATCTATTCACATGATCCTGTGGTTTTTACCCTTCATTTTGATAATGTGGTGCATCTCATTAACTGATTTGCAGATGTGGAACCATCCTTGCATCCCTGGAATAAATCCCACTTCATCGTGGTCTATGATCTTTTTGAGGTATTGTTGAATTTAGTTTGCTAATATTTTGTCGAGGATTTTTGCATCTATGTTCATCAGGGATATTGACCTTTAACTTTCTTGTGGCATCCATGTCTTGTTTTGGTATCAGGGTGATGCTGGCCTCATAAAATGAGTTGGGAAGATTTTCCTACTTTTCTGTTTTTTTGGAAGAGTTTGAGGATGATTGGTATTAATTCTTCTTTGAATGTTCAGTAGAATGCACCAGTGAAACCATCTGGCCCTATACTTTTGCGTGTTGGGAGATTTTCAATTACAGATTTAACCACCTTACTAGTAATCGGTCTATTCAGATTTTTTATTTTATCATGATTCAGTTTTGGTATATTGTATGGTTCTAGGAATTTATTCATTTATTCGAGGTTGTCCAATTTGTGTATAATTGTTCGTAGTAGTCTCTTATGATCCTTTGTATTTCTGTGGTATCAGTTGCAACATCTTCTCTTTTATTTCTGATTTTATTTATTTGAGTCCGCTCTCTTTTTTATTAGTGAATCTAGCTAAAGTCTGGTCAATTTTGTTGATCTTTTCAAAGAGCCAGCTCTTTGTTTCATTGATCTTTTCTATTGCCTTTTTGTCTTTATTTTATTTATTTCTACTCTAATATTTGCAATTTCATTCCTTCTACTCATACTAATTTGGGGATACCTTTGCCCCT